GAATAAAAGTTAGTATGCGTGTTCTCAGAGCTGGAGGAATGTTTTCTTGTAAAAATTGGTTAACATTTTTTCCCCTAAGAAATGAACAAATAAATAGTTTTCAGAGGTTTCTGCAACCGTTTAATTCACCTTTAGAAAAATAAATAGATGCATTTTATAATATGAAATTTGGCAAGCTTTTAATTTTTAATCTGGATGGTTGCATTTTGTGATTTAAAAAAAATATTCTAATGTGAGCCTAAAAATTAACATTTAAAAGTGATCTGTGTATAAGCACTGCAACTGTATTTTCATAACATTTTAACCGATTAAGGGATAAACTCTGCTGAAGACAATGAAGGAACCTTATCAAATGAGCATTTCACATAGACTTACCGTAGATTGGAATTAAGCCCCGCTAACGAATCCTGCCTCATTTGCATGGCCAAAACCTAATCCTAATGAAACTTCATGGTAGATAACTAACATGTTTTCTTCAAAGTAATGTTACTTTGGTATTAAAACTGTGCAAGGTACCAATTCTGAGTTCCTACGCCACAACGTAATGCGCAGCATTAGGAGTCCATAGAAGAGCATCCCAGGTAGACCTGATACGTTTTTGAATCAAGAGCTTAATGTGATGGTAGCCAAAACCAAATGCGTTTGGCTTTGCTAGAGAGATATATTAGAGGATGGATTTGAGTTATGCTAATGAGCCTGAATTTGTTAGCAGGGATCACATCTGATCCCTATGTAACACCGCAGGAGATTCATCAGCCACACTTTATTAAACTAAAAATAATCCATAAATCCAGAAATTAAAAGACTGTAAATTACTACTCTATTACTGTAATAACTGAAACAAACTAACACGATACATTCAAATCCCAACCTCAACCCAAACTGTACTTCAAAGAGGGAAAAAACCCTCCAATGTGTTAAAATCAGACACTATAATTGTTTAGGGACAGATCCTGAAAGTCAGGTGTATGCGTGATGTGTGAGTGTATACACACACACATTCACACCTATGGATATATGACAATTTTTTTAAGTGTCTATGGACCTTAGCAGTGTTAGTCAGTCATTAAGTCACATAACGATTTCATATTTTTTAGGCACTTTTGAAAACTTGTTTATTATAGTAAGCAATATCGCACTGAACATCTTTGTATGTACCTAAAATGTATGAAGTTAATTCATAACATCTCTTCCTTCTCTTTAAACATGGGCCCAGCTGGGGTTTAACTCTTGTGGCTACTTTTACATGCCCTGGCTGGGGTCGCAGCGCTGGCTCAGGAGAGAGGCGTTTAACACACACTAGCAACACCCCTTGCCATTTTTGACACACCACTGGAAAACTCACACTCCAGGGATTGACAGGGGCTGTTGGCAAAATGCCTCTTTCTAGTCAATTTGCATGTGCAGTTGTGGGTTTCACACATAATAATTTGGGAGTGCGTAAATTTTTAAAGCATTATTCCAGACAATATTTGAAAACATGGCTTTGCTTGATTATTAGTGGTCAGAAGGCTACTGCTTTCAAGTGAACTTCCAGCTTCTTAGGAAGATACTTATTCCTTGGATAAACTAGCAAATTCTTTTTATCCAAAGTTCCATTTTTTTAAGGATATGTGAAAGTGGTGTCTGACCAACTTGCAAGAAATTGAAGTATGAAAAAGTCACGGATTCAAAACTGTTATTATTCACGGGCAAGTATTCTGTTAAAAATGGAAAAACGTATTTTGTTGGTGAGTTCGAAAAGTAATGAGAGAAGGCAGCAGAAAGGATTCCAGCCGGCTCTACAAAATAAATTAGCCAGCGTAGCATCTGAAGTTCTTATTTCTTATTCTAAAATATAAAAATATATCAACTCTTTTTTCGTAAAAAGAAATAGAGTTGTGCAGCATGTTGATTTGCAGTGAGTGACTGTATTAAGTGGAGAGGCTTCCACCACATGCAAGGCAAGGCAGAAAAATTGGAGAAGTAGTCACATAATATAGAGATATATGTAAGCATATGTTGATTTTGTCAGTACAATTCAGTAATGTGTGTTTTCTGAGATAGAGCAAGAAAAACATATTTAACAAGGACTATTTGTCCAAAGCATATATTCATTTAACTGGGAATGAAAGAGCAAAATTCATTCATGAATTTTTACTATTTACTCAAAAAAAGTATATAAGCCAGAACACACCTTTAATAAGTCCTTTTTCTTGCAATGTTTTCAAGGAGGGTCTTCGGGAGATAAACTTCTTCAATCTGCTTTTAACTCGATTTCTGTCATTTGTGTCAGAGGCACTGTAGTTCAGTCTGAAAACTAAAGGAAAACAAAAGAAAAAGCTTCAGTGAATATATGTGTTTAAACTGATAGTACTTTGCTTACATATCCTTTATGAATACTGGCCATATCCACCTTAATAAATGTATGCGGTAGGTCAGCAGTATAGCTAGTTGGATAGTACAAAGTGTTTGATTAATAATTTTGTGAATAAACATGATGAGTTCACTATGCTGGTTATTCACAGAGTTGTATTATTTATTACTCATAAGTATTTGGATGGCTACCAGTTTACTCATGAAGTGTTCACGAATCCCACAAGTTTCACATGGATGATTTTTCAGTTAAAAGTCCTGAGCTGAAGGGTGCCGTGCACTATTAGCTAAATACTACTTGCTGTGAGAAAGGATGGTTACACCACTAGTGAAGGACTGAATTCTCTTGCCAAGATGGATTAAGCATTATATATATATATTTAATGTAGTTTTAGAAAACATGGCTATATGCCATGAAATGTGTGCAAGATGCATTAATTTATGGAAAGAGAAGTATTCCAGTTCTAATGATTATATTTTATTATATTTAGGCATTTACCAAGCTGAGAAACATTTTGAGCTCAATTTATTCCTGCTCTGTGTCAAAAAGACATAGAACCCAGCTGCAGAAAATCCCCTGGAGGAAGTTTCGAAGGCATAAATTTAACTTATTCTCTGCTGAGGTGCTTACAGGGAACCATCACAGCTTTCAGAACAGGCAGTACTAGCAGAAAGGAGAAAGTATGGGGCATCAAAGGAGGTCCTAGGTCACTACTCAAGACTAGGTCCTCCAGAAGCAAGCAGAGATACCATGGGAGGACCTTTTCAGAAGGACTCCCAGAACAAAACATTGAAAGACTTCTGACAAATCGCCCGACCCTCAGCACGCTTGTCGAACTGCCCTATGTCCTGGGCGCTCTTCCACCTGCCAACCCCCAAAGGCTGAGTAGGGTTTAGGCTGAGAGCAGTGCAGCCTATTACTGGCAAGGAGCTCAAGCTAAGAGAAGGCTGGCTTTTGGCTGCTGGGTAAGTTTTCTCTTTACTGCCTTCCACTCATCCAAAACGCACCTATGAGAGAAAAGTTTTCCATCTTCTCTTGCAAGAAAAAAGAAAAATCCACAAAAACAGAGCATTCGCCACAAACGGATAACTTAGCCGTGGTTACAGAAATGTTCCCTATTCTTCCCTGTCCAGACTGAATCCCTTCCATAGTGCAGTAGTCTTTGTACACACAATCCAACCGAAGAGAGAGGAAAGAAAATCATGACCTAAATCATTGGGCTATTTTGTAGCAAGTAGTTCTGCATAAGTCATAAACAGAACCAGAACGTCTAAAGGTGCACATTTATAAAACAATGGCAAGTAGAAATAACTAGTTAAGCAACAGCAACAACCCTGGAATATTGTGGTTTACATCACAAATCTGATTTTAACAGCCAAACTTATAAAATAGTTTACGCTTTGCTGTTGTCAAGGGAGAAAAACTTGCCAAATTGTTCATTTTAAGTAAATAGAACATAGCCAATTAAGGAAAGCAATATTTAAACACATGCCTATGATGATCAGAGCATAGTTTGCTTCTGATTTCACTACTGATTTTAACAGAAGAGTGCTCCATTTTCCCACAGCACTAAAATGACCCCACACATACTTCCACAAACTAGTAATCACAAAGGACAAATAAAAGGACACTTTACTGGAAAATACACAGCTTGGTACAATAATCCGTCACTTATGAAAAATAGTATTCACATTTTTTAATGGTAGCATTCTTGGAGTGATGTATCATAGAATATAAAGATTAGCATTCAATTGACGGTTGGTGCTTTTTTAACATTATAGTTTAGAACTTTTTGTTCAAAATTGAGCAACCCTTGGCAGGGACAAACAAAAATTCCAAGTCACTTGGCCGTGCTATAAAAAGAACAACAAATGGATGTTTCTAATTCTGCATCTTAATGGTACTTTGAAACAGTGAAGTGAATTGTATTTAGTTTTGCAACTCTCTTATTGCTTAGGGTCATTCTGTCTGTAGCAATTCATATTTAAGTTTACTTTTTCCTTACTTACAGTGAGGTTTCCCCCATACAAATGTTGCAGGAGTGAAAACATCAAAGTCGCTTAAGATGCTTGCCGCATTTCCTGTTCTGCAGGATCTGGAAATGTTCTATGCCTACTTGAACTACAGTCTTAGCTCTAAGCATCCACCAGATTTGTTAAGATATTTTAACTGAACTGAACATGGTCCTACTGCGAACGGTAGGGTAGGGGATCTGTGATTTGATAGCAAGGTAAAGATCCTTCTCCTAGGAAAGATGCATTAACCCGATTGGAAGTTTTATACCTGAAACAGCAATTATGGTGTTAAAACTACATCTAGAGGTAGGAATAATTATTGTCAGTGATACTTTTGTATCTTTGTACTTTTTCTACATTAGATTGCATAGCGCTTAGTTAAAAACAGCAGCAATGCCAATTTTGATGAATTTCTTATTTTATTCTATTAAGCATGTGTGAGTCACCAGAGGGAAACTCCAAGGCTCCCAGAAATTCAAGGGTTTAGCTAGTATGTTCCAAAACCAAGCTTAGCCAGAAATATTCTTGCTGGGATCCTCTTGCCAAACCATTCTCGCGATATCCTCACATTAAAATGACTTTGCTTTTCAATTTGGAAATACACAGAGGACCAAATGCTATTTCCAAGAGAAAAAAATGTAATTATAAAACAGAAAAAAAACACAATAAGCTTTTTTTTTTTTTGTAGTACCTTCCTTTTTAAATTTCAGGTTCTGGATTTGGCCAGAAGAATCTTTCATTAATGAGAGCTGGCATCATACATCACACAAAAGGAGAAAGCACTTCCACACAGAAGTAGAACAGGATACTTAAGGATCTAAATACAAAAGAATAGCGAATGAAATCTATTGCTTGTTCTCACGTCCTCCAGCATTTAGTACCTAGGTATGCCATTTGATTCATTGTACTGATTAAATTCAAATCCTCAGACAAATTCTGAATCTAATTGCACTGACAGCCACACATAAATGCTTCAAAAGCAACACATAAACAGAAGCATAATTCCTCTCTCTCTGCACAGGCTCTTTGGTTAATAATTTGTAATACCTCACTAATAACTTCTGAGACAGAAAAAAGAAACACACACTCGTCCTTGTTGGGCCAGCGGTTTTTACATTGTAAAGGTGGCCCCAACAGAAAGTCCAATATTATGATAAACCTTTTCCTGCCGAAAATGGGTGCAGGACACTTCAACCCAGCAGCAAATGCACTATCCTATCTGAAGATAGGCTGAATTTCAAATTTGGCCCCCTCGGATCTAAAATACATTTCTGGTGACTATGGCAGAATTTGGTCCTGTATTAAATACTTGTTTATTCCATAGGTGGGAAAGGTATTAACAAACAATTTTAAAAAAAAAAAATCTTTTTCTCAGGCAATTTGCTATCTGCTCTAGAATTAAACTACATTAGAGTCACTGTAGCTTATCAGGTTAAGGAAGTGTCATACAGAATCGGTGCAAAAAGAAAATAGCATAAAACAGTAGGAACAGAACACTGTGTTAAGAATAAAATAAAACACTTTTCTGGCCTTCAATGTTTACTAGCATTTTAAAAACTCTACCTGAATTAGCGAGGATAATAGTAAGCTAAATCCTTCAGATGAAAAACTTGCATCAAGAAAAAACTGACCTGCATTTTTGGCGTACGTAAATTTTCTAGATACTAATTCATCTCCTAAACTCTAATCTTAATATTTCTAATAATATATAAATTACAGGATCATTATGCAAAATTAAGAAAAAAAGTCTATACAAGAGCTTTGACAGGACAAGATGACAGGCGGAGGGAAAAAAGCATTGGATTATCTTTGAACCTCACAGTTCAACAAGAAAAGCACCATAGGAATCAATGGAAGTTTTGTGATCTGCAGATGAAGAATAGCATGTGATATTTTAATGCACTAAATTGTATATATGAGGTAATGAGAATAAATATAGTGTAATCAGGCTTAAACAGTGACTAACACAGTTGCATGGTGAAGCTGTCAAAGCCCTTCTCCAGAATCTTGGCGTGCACACACTTAAGGAACCAGACAGGGCTCTGGCCTCTTCAGGGCAAGGATCATAATTCTTGATGTGACTACTGCACGTGAGTTCAGCAGAGAAAATTAAACACAAATCATGTACCTAGACAATATATTTCCTGGGTGTGATCTCCTGGGCAGGGCCTGTATGATTCAGAAAGTAAAACGCTTAATATCTTCTAAACAGCCCTATATTTTATTGGCAGGGTTTTCTAACTCCATACAACATGATCTCACATTCCTTCCAATGACTTTCATTTCACTCTTAATTTACAAAACATTTATACAAAATCTCAAAGGTTGACCTATGATTAATTCCTGCCAGGTACAGTATATCTGAACACTTTTAACATGTGTTGAAAGCATCGGTTTTTCAAAGAACGATCCATTAATGACTTTCTGAACTGTGACAATGGATATTGACAGTGCTTGTCAGACTAAAGCACTATTGATTGTCTCACATCATGTGTATAGCAAAAACAATTTCTTTAAAGTGCCTCTTCCTAACTGAAATACATTATTACGGTGCCTATCTGTTTATTATAATACCCAAAATCATAGTCTGTAATTCATTTAAATGGGAACTGCTCATACAGAATGAAAATCAGCAGCAGGAGCGGATAGGGTATTAAGAAATTTGAATAGATTTACATTAGTATCTTTTCTTCCATTAGTATTGTTCTTTGGTAAAAACACAACAACAGTCTGGACTATGCAATTTTGTTTTAATACTCTTGAGTACTTCAAAATTTCATAAAGTTCTTAGAACTGAGGATGACTTGTAGCATAAGGATGACACCTTAGGATTTAATAGTTTAGTTAGCATTTAACAAATTTCTTCCTAAGGAAGAGTAAAACTGACAAGCTTCCCCATCCAAAACACTGAATATGCTGATCTAAATC